TGCCTAGTACATAATAAGTATTATGTGATTATTAAATGAATAAATAAAGAAGACCATACTAAAGTCACTCCATTATCTTAAGAAACCAAAACTGTTGTAGTTAAGACGTGAATTGTTCAGTGATATTAGTAACTTGTATACAAACAGATAAGTACACAATAGACTTTAAGGTTGCTAGTTTCACTGTTGCAGATTTCTAATCACATGCAAGTAAAGTTTTGCTGAAGATGTTTTTAAAATGCTTGCAACAGTACATTGACAGGGAACTGCCAGAGGTTCAAGCTGGATTCAGACAATGACGTGGAACAAGTGGTATCATTGCTGACGTCGAATGGATCTTGGCTGAAAGCAGAGAATATCAGAAATGTATTTACCTGTGCTTTTTTGACTATGCTCAGGCTTTCAAATCTGTGGATTATGATAAGCTTTGGATAACATTGTGAAGAATAGGTATTCCAGAACACTTAATTTTGCTCAAGAGAAAGTTGTATATAGACTGAGAGGCAGTTGTTCAAACAGAGCAAGGGATACTGAAAAGTTTAAAATCAGGAAAGGTGTGCATTAACAAGTGCAGTCTGTATCCTGAGCAAATAATCCGAGAAGTTGAATTATATAAAGAAGAACATGGCATCAGGATTCAATGAAGAGTCATTAACATCCTATGATAATGCAGATGATACAACCTTGCTTGTTGAAAGCAAAGAAGACTTAAAATATTTAATGATGAAGATCAGAGACCACAGCCTTCAGTATGGGTTGAATCTCAATGTGAAAGCAAAATTCCTCGCCCCTGGACCAATAAAAAACACCCTTATAAATGGAGAAAAGATTAAAATTGTCTAAGACTTCATTTTGCTGGGATCAACCATCAACACTCATGGAAACAGCAGTCAAGAAATCAAATGACCTATTGCGTTAGGCAAATCTGCTGCAGAATACCTCTTTAAAGTGTTCAAGAGCAAAGATGTCAGTTTGAAGACTAATCCTGACCCAGTCCATAGTAATTTCAGTAATCTTATGTGCATGTGAAAGTTGGACAGTGAATTGGAAGAATTGATGCATTTTAGTTATGTTTTTGAAGAATATTAAAAGTACCATGAGCTACCAGAAGAACAAATGATTTATGTTGGAAGAAGTACAGCCAAAGTGCTCCTTAGCAAGGCAGGTTGATGAGACTTTGGCTCTCATACTTGGGATATATTATCAGGAGGGACCAGTCCTTATAGAAGGACATTTTACTTGGTACAGTGGAGGGTCAGCGGGAAAGAGGAAGAACTCCAGTGAGATGGATTGGCACAGTGACAACAGTGGTTTCATTCTGTTGTACATAGGGTCCCTGTGACATGGAGCTGACTTGAAGGCACCCAACATCAACAAGCAGCATGTATTTTATAAATACAAGGAATGCTGTATACAAAATTATTTTGCCACTTTGACAGCACAGTTACTTCCTTTAGCAAATTTTCTATTCACAGAGGTTATTTTTGTCTCATTTATACTCATTTATACCCTACTCATTTTTAATTCTCATATATGCCTATGTTTTGTACCTATTAGATGTTAAGTAAACTGTAAAATTGCATTCATCAACTCACTGGTAAATTTTAACTAAAAAGAAAAAAAAAGATACTGTTTAGTATGCTATATAGATTTAAATTATAATATTTTTTATTATTTTAAAATATGAGCCTGTTAATAATTTTATTACATTGCAGATGAATATATAGCTGATGAATTTAAATGCTTTGAAAATACATGTCCTTAAAAGAAAGTCTTAAGATACTTTTACTTTTTGTCATTTTTCATAGTATGCCATCGAGTCTGTTCTGACTCATAGTAACTGTGTATTGGGTTTCCAAGGTTGTAAATTTTTAAGGAGCAGAAATACTCATTGTTCTGCTGCTGAGTGGCTGGTAAATTGAACTGCTAACTTTGCAGTTACTGATCCAGTGGTGAGGATTTTGTTTTCTTTACCTCGAGGTAATCCACAACTAATAATCCACTACTCTGTCAGTGCTTCTATACACAGTAATTCTATACACTAGCAATTTTTGGTGCAATGGATATATGCTTCCCTTATATATTTTTTTTTTTTACTTAAAAAGGGGTTCATGCTAATAAAAAACCAGCAACAGAAAACAAACTGCATAATGGGTCAGAGCAGAATCTTGCAAAGTCGCAGAGAGAGCTTTCCAAGTCTTAATTAAATCTCATCTGAGGGAAAATTAAAATGTAGCTAAAGAAACTGTCTACCAAAACAGGAGCTGGTTAATTATGAAATCACAGAAAAAGAGAAAAGAAAACGTTGCCAGCATAAGTGTACTCTGCTCACCTGCAGCAGTGTTTAGTCTCCAGGTAGTTCTAGCTCCATTGTGGGCAGTGTTAGTGCCTGATACCAGTCAACAGTTTTGTTATCTGACTAAGAAGAGTACCCTTTGTATCATTTCAAACAGTCTCCTGATAACTTTGGGTTTCCAAGTAATCTGCCAACAGGAAGACTGTATATATTGGTTGGTCTGTTGGAAAACTATATTATTATAAATATTTACATAGACATAGCTTTATATTTCATCTGAATGAACTGCATTATAATAACTCAACTCTGAGAAATTAATAAGATTAATTACTTGTGTCTGTAAGACTGTGTGACAAAAGTAAAACCACCAAAATAAATGTTATTTTGAGGCCTCTGAGAAGGTGGGCAGCTATCCTATCCAAATTAGGCATATACTAATATTAACATGTACCAAGAGTACATTACTCTCTACATTTGTCTGTGTCTGAAATATTTTATGCAAATGCATTTTTATTATATTTAGCTATAGAAACTTCTCATTTACCTGATGCAAAGGAGTAAAGTGTTTAAAAGGAGTCCTCATATGGCACTGTGAGTTAATGCGCTAGACTACAAGGTCAGTTTGAACTGCAAAGTTGGCAGTTCAGGCTCAGCTGCTCCTCAGAAACTCTATACAGGGTCGCTATGAGTCAGAATTGATTCTTCGTAACTTAACAACAACAAGAAGGTGTGTAAAGTAGTCTGTAGAAGCAAATAATACGTACCACATATTACAGTTTGAACTGCAAAGCCACCAGCTGCTCCTCAGAAACCCTATATAGGGTTATGAGTTGGAACCAGCTCAGCTGTACTTCACAACAGCATTACTTATTTAGTGTTTAAAAGGAGTCCTGGTGGTGCAGTGGTCAAGCATCTGTCTGCTAACTGAAAAGTTGTTGGTTCAAACTCACCAACTATGCTGCTGGAGAAAGATGTGGCCGTCTGCTACTGTAAAAATTTACAACCTTGAGAATCCTGTGGGACAATGTTACTCTTTCAAATAGAAATCAACTTGCTGGCAACAGATTTGGATGTTTAAGTGTTTAGTATTTGTCAAGTATTGGTTCAATTCTCACAATATTGCATCAGGTAAATGCAGACATCAGAAATGTAAAATAGTTAATAAAAATTAATAATTTAAGTGCTAAGGTTTGAAGGAGGGAGATTTGATTGCCAGAGCAGTAGAGTACATTAAATGCATACCAGGGCTTGTGAGTCCAATAGAATTGCATTTACATTTGGCATCTGCCACTTAAAAAAGATCTTGAACAAACCTTTTAACCTTTCTGAATTTAATTTCTTCAACTATAAAATGCAAATACTTTCACCTGCCTCTAAACAAGCTATTATATCTTTCTTGGTTCCCTTTTATCCCACAACTGTTTTTTCTTACATAGTCTGGTTTGGGTTTTATTTGTATCTTTTAATTAAAAAAACATAAAAGTAGTAATTCTTTATGGCAAAATAAAAAGATCAAATATACAAATGATGAGTATATGTCTTCCTTTCCACTCTCCAGGCCACTTGCTGGAGTTAACTGTTATCAAGTTTCTTATCTATTCTTCTAAAAATTTGTGTTTTATTGTGAACTGAGTGATAGTTTACATGGGAGAACATTGGCTTTACACCACTGTTTCTTTTCAGTGATTACCATCTCCTCCGTGCATCATCATTCACAGCATTTGCTTCTGTTCTCTCTGTGGTTTTTTTTTTGAGCAGGGGGGAGGTTGGGCGTGTACACAGAAACACTCAGGAATATAATAATTTAAACAACCAAAGGACACATTGTGCAAGCCTACCTTCTGGCTGCCAGTACCCAGTCCCTCTCTTTCCATGAGTCCAGAGTCCTCAGCTGCTCCTTTTTTCCATATCCTCATCTCTGCCTCCATCTCTGGTGTCGCTGCTTCCTTTGATAGGGTCGCCTACTCTGCTTGTGCCCTTCTCTCTCTCTTTTTTTTTTTTTAAGGTTTTTATTGTGGATTGAGTGAAAGTTTACAGGGCACATCATCAGTTTCAC